CACACACACACACACACACACACGAGCTTTCTGTGCTGGATTCTAGTGGAATTCCTGAGTACTATCTTCCAAATCTCCACTGTCTCTCAATTTATCCCATCTAGAGTTGTCTTGGAGCCCTAGTGGTGCAGTGGTTAAAAACTCAGCTGCTAACCAAAAGGTTGGCAGTTCGAATCCACCAGCCACTCCTTGGAAATCTTACGGGGCAGTTCTACCCTGTCCTATAGTACAGGGTCGCTATGAGTCAGAATCGACTCGACGGCAATGGGTTTTGTTTTTTGGTTTTAGAGTTATCTTGACTGTCAAGCTTTTTTTATTTCAGAGACCTTATTTTTAATTTCCAAGATTTCTATTTGGTTCTTTTCTAGAACTAGCTTTCATTTTTGCCTGATATTTTCCATAATGTCTTCCAAGCAGAGTTTTTATATAGCCCCTCTCCCTTCGTGTCCCCACCCACAAGCTCACGGCTGCCCTTTTCACTGACAGGTGTCTTCATCTTCACCTGGGTCACTGTCCTCTACTTCCCTCGTCAGAGTGCCTCTTCTTCTGGAGCTGCCCCAGCCGACCAGACCCACTCGGTGTCTCCTGGTTAAAGAGGCTGCCATGTGGCTAGGCTGGGGGCTGGACGCCTGGGCTCTGGACTCAGCTCTGACTCACTGTGTGACCTTGGAGCCTCCATTTCCTTCTCTGGACACTGTGGCTGGGGAGGGGAGGATGGAGACCAGGTTGGACCATGTGACCTCAAAGGACTCATCCAGATGCATCTATGGATCTGAGAGTCCACGAATCTAGAAATGCAGAAGGTTAGCACTCTTAGAATCCTGGGCACCCTCCTAGCATACAGCAACGCCTTCCCCCACCCACCTACCCACCTTCACAGCAAAGCAACAGTTCTCTGCCCTTACTCACCCTCTGGTCTCAGTAAGGGCCTGAGCTTAAATAGGGGAGTCTGTTGTAGGCACAGACCCTTGAAAGAGCCCCAGTGTCTCCCCACCCCAACCCCCTTGTCATTTCCCTCCCAGACTCCAACTTCTGGCTGCCTGTACCTGTGAGGCGAAGGCTCTAGGACGTCATTTGCCCCTCAGGCATTGGGGGCGTTGTTGACTGAACTTTTTTTGGGGGGGTTGATCCTCCTACCCAGCCTGCTCTGGTCTCTGCCAGTCCCACTAGGGCCCCTCCTCCCTGAAAAGCCCCCACCATTCAGGGGCTGCGAGCCCTCAAGGTGTCAGGGGACACAGCTTCAGAGAGACATTACTGACTATGGGTATGACGCCTCCAAAAGTCCAACTCTCCACTCTGCCACGCAGGCAGCTAGACCTTGGGTTTGCATCTCATGGGGTGGCGAAACAGTCACATGAACTGCACACCTGAGGTGTGGGCGCTTTTGCTCCTGTCTGTTCAGTGTTTGGGGCCGAGGGCTGAGAGTGGGGGAGCGGGCTTGGCTTTTCCGCTAGAACTGGAGCTCCAGTAGAGCAGGGACCATGACTGCCTCCTCATCATTTCCGCCCAGCTGGAGCTCAGGGCCTGGCTTGGTTCAGGCCCTGAATAAATATTTGTTGGCCGAACGAATGCATGTGTGAGTTTGGCTCCAACCCGACAGGGCCCTGAGCCAGGAAGTGTTTCTCAGGCCAGACCAAGTTGGGATTGTCGCTTCTCCTAGTGGCTTCACCTCCATTTCTCCATTGCATTTTGGGGTCCTCAGTAGAAAACAAAAAGAGAGATCATAGAGATAGAGGTAGAGAGAGAGACATAGAAAGACAGAGACAGAGAATTAGCAGACAGGCTAACACTGAGAGAGAACAGAGACAGACAGACGTGACAGCCCCCTGGCCTGCCTCAATCTGAGGGCGGCGAACACTGGAGTCAGTACCCTCCTCAGACCCCACCCTACAAGTTCCTGCCCACACTCTAGCCTTAACTTACTAAGTACCGTGGGAAATCTCACCCTCCCCACCCAACCCCCACCCTTTCCAACGTGCTTTGCAGACTATCGAGTGCCTTCCACAGGTGAGAAGTTATTATTACCAGACCTTCCCTCACAGCCCAAAAGCTGTGTGGGCTACCAGCTGCCTCCCCCTTCCAGATGCTGGTGCTGATGTCTGACAGGAATGGACATAGCACTCCCAGAAGCCCTCGCTTCCCCCTCCTCCCACCCCGAAAGCAGACAGGAAGGCAGGGGCCCTGGCTTTATGCAACTCACCGAGTTCCTGGAAGGGAAATTCTGAGGTGTGGACATTGCATCTGTTGAGCCTGATTATCACTTTTTGTGGACAAACTTGCTAGGTTTCAGGCTTATCTTCATAGACTTCTGTTTCTCAAGGGGAGGGCTAGGTGCCCTGACATCAAAGTCTCAGAGTGAGTAACCTGTGCTCAGAAGGAACAGCTGCTCCAGGATCAGACAGGTCTGGGTTCATTTCTTGGCTCTGCTACTTAGGAGCTGTGTGATCCTGGGAAGGTCGCCTCATCTCTCTGACCTTCAGTTTCTCCCTCTGTAAAATGGGGATCATAGAAGTCCTTGTCACATCCGGAGAGCACTGGGATGACAAAAGTAAAGCGCCTGACACTGACGCAGTAGGAGTTGGTTGGCTCTCCAAGACCTCCTTGGCTTAAAGAAAAAACAAGCGGAACCCTCATGTAAAGGAAATCATGACCCTCTGCAGCCTATATGTAAAATAAGAGTGTGAGGTTAAAGGTCCCTTCCAGATTTCCTCTACAACTCTGCCAACAGACCAGCGCTGCATTGGGACTAGGAACTGGAGGCCCAGAGAAGCCCAGCAACCAGCCCAGGGCCACTCAGCAAGTTAGGCTGAAGCTAGGGCTAGGTGCTCTAGGGAGCCCTGATGGT